CATCTATCTAGACTATATAAAAGTCCATTAGTGAACAGTTGGATCTGACAAACATTCTGAACATTCTGTTGGTACATATTGCACCTTCCTTTTGGAACTGTGCGTTCCCACATTTCACCAGTAAGAACTTTTTTTTTCTTTTCTTTTTTTGCTAGATAAGGCATGTGCTGTTACTGTGATTAACTATCTGATTATATTCTCTGTCAGTCATAAACATACTATTTTAAAAAAACATATTTGAAAAAGAAGAAATACATTGACCAGTACATACACAGTACATAGTTTCATGAAGTACATCTATTCTAATATTTTTCAGAATCTGTAGCCTTAAACCATGGGGTATAAATACAAGTTACACTGAGTTTAATCTGAAAACATTAGCCCAAAGCTTGCTGCTTTGCCCTCACAGAAGTCCATGTATAATGAACTTCCATGCTCCTCTTGACTTATTTACTGCCTTGGGCTATCCATCTATCTCCAAACTGTTTATTCAATTTCAGTTTTACTTACTTGGATGAGGAAATGAAGGCAATAAACCTCACATCTAATCTTTAATGTTAACCATCTGGCCAACATATATTTTGAGGCTAGAAGAAGGTCTGAACTAGAACCACATAAAAGTTTCCTGCAAAAAGTACAATTTTATTTTATGCTATAAAAATCCCTTAGAGGGTACTTATTTTGTGCCTTTAAGTATATAAATGTATATTAAAATGATTTACCAATGAGCCCTTAATACTTTCCAGACCTTTTCTAGCAGCTGGAAGAAAAACCAGAAGGCTAAGATTGCTCTGTTGCTCTGTCAGGGAGCCGGGGGTGGGGCGCATCTGTTCAAGGCGAAGTGGTCTCCTGTTGAGTCTCCAGGCTCAACTCCATCAAATTAACTTCACATTTTGATATGTGAGAGCAGTGTTTCAGCAAGGCTGTTTGCTCCTAAGGGGCCTTCTCATCAATCCTCTGGCCTTTCTTCCAGTAAATGCCAATAGACCAACCAGTAAATGTTGATGGACTTACCAATAAACGTTGATGGACCAAGCTCTGCCAAATGGAATGAGCAATATTAGAAAACACAAAAGTATATGCTCTCTGTCAAAAGGAACAGCAATATGTGAATATGTATGCTAGATCCCCTTACCTTAAGTCAACACTTAGATGTGAATAAAGGTGTCAGGCATTATTCTTAATTAGAACAATAGAAATTCATACACGTATTACTAAGTACCATGAAAGTCTCAGTCTTCCCTCGGAACCCCGAGCGCACTCACCCAAGCATGCCCATACAACGTTGTCTGCCTCCAACTTATCTAGATGAGAATTGGTGATTATGTGTGAGAATTAACTGGCCTTAGTCTGACATGAAAATGAAAATTAATTGTCATACAATGTAGCCACCTCTGAAATCAAATCAGAAATGTTTGTCTAATTTCTATGTGTCATTAAATACCAGAACTGGCCCAGATGGGCTTCTATCCAGCTGGGTCCATCTTTTCTACACTGTTGAAGGAGACCTGGAGTGTTAGTCATTTTGGTAGTGATGACTAGGAAGACACCTGCAGCCATGTTAGCCAAAGGCTGTACCCACTTCTGATTCCAAAGAAATCTAATCCATTAACGTTACTGAATTCAGATTTCTTGAACCCATTAAACTATTTTTTAAGCAAAAGGAACCTCTACAAATGTAGTTGCCAAAGCAGGCTCTCTTAGTCACTATTCTATTCTTATGAAGAGACACCATGACCAAGTCAGCACTTAGAAAGCATTTAACTTGGGGTTTATTCATCATCGTGAGCATGGCACCGTGTGGATGGCAGCACACAGGCAGGCATGGCCCTGGAGCTGAAAGCATTACATCTTCGTCCATGGGCAGGAGAGAGAGACACAGAGAGACAGAGACAGAAAGAAATAATGTTGAGGCTGCTGTGGATTCTTTGAAATCTCAAAGCCCACCCCCTAGTGACATATGTCCTCCAGCAAGGCCACACCTACCCCAATAAGACCACACCTCTTAATCCTTCCAATCTTTTCAAACAGTTCCAGTCTCTGGTGACTAACCATTCAAATATATGAACGTGTGGGGGCCATTTTTATTCACACCACCACACAGGCCAAGCAGATTCACATGACAGCCCGACAGAACCCAGAATGCCTGATTCTGAAGGCTGCACAGAGGATATGCAATATAAGCACCTGCAACATGAGGGTAACAGGCTACATCACTCTCCTTATTTACACTTATCCTGAACCTGAAAAACTATCTTCTAACTATGCCTGACCTGTGGTCTCCCAGCGGTAGCCTCATCCAATGAAATACACCGCTGGGACTCCAGAAATGCCCTTGAGAGGGGAAGGGAAAAAACAGGAGCCACAGTACAGGTAGCTTACTTATGGCAGCCATGTAGCATTGAGATTAGCTAGAATTCATGCAGGGCTCAGCACATTTACAAATTACGTATAAGTATAGAAAAAAATATTCAGGTAGGATCGATGCTTCTTCTGCAACAATCTGTGGCTTATAAATAAAAATGTGAGTTATGTGTCCTGTTAAGTAGGAGCGCACAGGCTGCATCCTCTTGGTGTGTGTTCAGCCTGTCAGGCACAACACAAAATAAATCCCACACTATCTCAAAATGAAAGATAGTGCCCTCTCATCTGAAGCTGTCAGTAAAACCACTTGAAATAAGTGCTGTTTAAAGCAATTAGGGTCTGCTTTTGGGACACATATTTTTAGAAGGTTGGAAAGACAGAGTCAGATGTCAAAATGTGCAATTGCCTGTAGCTGCTTTTGTCTCCGCATTGTGAAATGGTGTTTGCTGAAAGGAATGAATGAGAAAATGCAACTTCTCAGTTCAGGTCATTCAAGACCACAATCCCAAACACTGACTCAGAAAGCTGCTCTCTCACATCATCTCCTAGATCTAAATTTGTATGACAAGCCTACCCCTGACTTAAGACAAGTTAACAGACATGTAATGAAAGTCCCACAACCCAGCTTATAAAACCTGTGATGAAATAACTACTCAACACAAAGGGAAATCAATTGAGTTTGCAGATGAGAGTAGGTGATAATCAGGTGGTCTTAATAATGGGGAGATTTTCCCACTATTGTCCAGGGGAATTCAATATAATGACTGCAGAAGGAAAGGTAGGACAAGGAGGCATAGCAGAGAAGACAATAGTGATAGTAGCATGAAAAAGAAAAAAAAATCTGTCCTGGGGCTGTTGGCATTGATGAAAGAGAGGTGGTGCCACCAGCCCAGGAATACAGAAATCTAATGGAAATGAGTAAAGAAATTCTACATATAAGTCACATAATTGTAGCAAATAGAAAGTAAAGATGTATCAGATGAAGTAAAGCTGTTACAAAGTAAAGAGAAGGTGTTTTATTCTATGAATGCATTCTTTTTAGGGAAAAAAAAAATCCTCTACAACCAAGAACATGATGAGATGGGTATTTTTAGTTACTTCTGTGGTGGAATAAGAGACACTACAGCTTATTTTTTATTGTTTTAACTGAATCATAATAATTATATATTATTATTGTACTGAATATTTCAAAATAACTAGGAGGCAGGATTTTAAATGGTCTTGCTACAGAGAAATGAAACAAACTTTCCAAAAATCAAGTCAATATTTATTAAAAAAATAAGAAAAGGAAGTTCCCAGTGGTGTTTTACTATAATAAATTTAAATATATGAAGGGGCCGTTTAAGTAGCTGTTTTCATCTCAACTCCTCCCTACGTGGATATTTAGGGACTGAAGCAGCAATGACCTTGACGTAAAATACAGGGATTACAGGCTGACCATGACTGGCTCAGGATAAACCGGCAGAGGACACTCGCTGGATCTGACAGTCCCCCACAGGCTGGTGCTTCACCCAGAGAGTGATTTTGGGGGAGACTACGAATCATTCGTCCTTCAGGATTTCTCTGTATTATCTACGTGTCTCTCTGCATCACCACTTGCTGGCTGACCACTTAACACTACCCTCCTCACCTTTTATACCCAGAGTACCAGAATCCTCCTCCTCCCACCTACCCTAGTAGGAAATCCCTCCCTGAGCGTTTACAGGCCTCCGTCCCTAACTTCTCAGTCTCTTAGGACTCGGGTTTTCCCTCCATGTCTGGGGTCAGATCGTAAGCCTGGGTTAAGAATCACCCTGGGCAATTGGATATTCCGTGCAGTAGGAAGCCTAGCCTTTGACACCAGGGCTGTGAAAGTGGTTGCTTTTCAGAGCTGTTTTGTGGTGAGGGTAGGAGGAGGAAACAAGCGTTGACCACACAGAAGAGGGCAAAATGGCTAACGGCAGGATCTAGTGAGGCAACTGGTTTTGACTATCAAAGAAGCCAAGTAATTTTAAATCAGCTGAGATTAATTAACTACTTTACCTCCAAAGACTGTTGTGTGGCTGTGTGGAACAGAAATCATCTCTCAGGGAAGTGCAGGAAGAACCAGGAGAAGCAGCAAAGGCTGCTCTATGCCATGTTGGTTCTTTGAGACACTCAGCAAAGTACAGATTTTCTCTCCTGCATCTCAGCACTGACCACCAGCAAGTTAATGTATTTTCTTATGATGTAATTAACAAAACAACTTAGTACTCAATAGAATTTACTTTCTCACTGCACTTTAAATTATTAAGTAGATGATTGCTATTTAATTTATGTTTAACCTGTTTTAGGTTCCTTTCTGCCTGTTAAATGTTAAAATAGTTGTAGGAATAATGAATATAGTACAAATTGCTCTACAAATATTAAAAACTAAAATATACATTATGAATAATTTGTAATGGTTTTAAGGACATCCTCAATCAAAGTGTAAGTGAACTATCCAAAATTGTTATTTCTCATTTATCTTTTTAGAAAGCTATCTAGGTTGCTAAAAAAAAAAAATGAAAAAGTTTTTAAAACAGCTATTGTTTAGATGTAAAATTTTATTCTATTACAAATTCATAGGCGTTACTGACACATTGGTGTAAGCTCTAAAACCATCTGCTTTTTTCCAGCTGGTTGGTTTTGTGTACGCCTGTTATGTGATCAGCGTTTCCATGGACGAAGAAGACACCTGTAAGTAGTGGAATCGGTCCTTCCCTGGCATTTCTTCTGGGTAAGACTCTGATCTCTAAAAGCCGTTACAAAGCTAAGACTATTCAACTCCGCAGAGTGAAGCTGTAATCGAGGTAGCCACTCAAGCTCACAAAAGCAGGTTAGCACTAGCCACTGACCCTCCCTCCGAGTCACTCAGAAATGAGTGGGAGGCTCAGATGCCTGTGGACTGCTGCTGTCAGGCAACACTAGAGGCCCCAGAAGCAATGTGCTCAGTTAAGGGTTATTCTATTCGTCACCAGCTGGGAGTATATTGATGGTAAACCTTAGAAATTTAACTAACAGCATTTATAGCAACGCAATGGATTGTGGGATTCCCTATGAATACAAACTAATTTGTGGAACAACAAAATTACAGCCATTCGTGGGGAACTTTTTAAAAAATTGAAGCGATACTAGAAGTGCCTCGTGTTATGCTCAGAAACTAAGTCAAGGTTTAGCATCAAATAAAAGTTATAGCATGACTGGAGGTTCTATTTTAGAGGGATATCAGCACAGGTCAACAAATTCCATTTGCTGAATACCTGCAAACATACAGGGAAGGCACTTTCCACACAACTCTAGTGTGCCCATGCAAGGCAATAACGGACATGAACCGGTTTTTACAGTTGAATTACCTCAGAAAATGACATCTACCCATTTCCGCTGTTACCCAAATTGCTTCAAATAGTGCTTTTAACAAAATGGGGATGTATAGGTAACCTTTATAACAGCCTTGCTAGAATACGATTCCAAGGTGAACGGTCCCCTCCGAACAGATGCAGTGGTGATGGCTGAGCCGGAATCCATGACAGCGTGACCTCATCTCAGTTAACCCAACTAATGCTAGAAAATGCTAGACCTTGAGGGGACAGGTGTGGTGATGAGAACAGGTAAACCCTAGCAGCATGTTTTGAGCCTACTTGGGCATATTTTTCTTTTAATATTTTAAATGGCATAGAATTCCTGGCAATTTCAAAAGTGCTGTTAACGTAACAACCTGCCCCACTTGGAGGGGAACTTTGGGGGAGACACTAAGTAGAGAATATCAGCAGCGTGATTCCGGACTGTGCCAAGAACAAAAATTAAGTTTAAAAATTTCACATGGCCAGGAACAACTGAACACAAATATCAACTGAAGCGAGATTTCAAAGAAGCTGGGATCGGGACTAAGTAAATACTTCAGTTGCTGTTCTGAATTTCTTATGATTTACTTTTGAATACTTACCCCCACATTACCCACAAGAAAGGGTGGGTTTCTTCTTTCTCCTCATTGAACTGTCTAGACGCCAGTAGTACACCCTGCCTCACTGAAGAGGAAAGGCATTCTAGTCATCAGTCTTTTTTCTAACTCAATAAATACAGACGATCATTTCCTTGAGGCTTGTGAGTCTTAGGTGAAAACAGGAAACGCACAATGTCATGCAAAATAAAATTCCATCACGCTGCCTTTAGAGAAGTGATTCTCAACCTGTGGGTCATGACCCATTTGGAGGTGAAAGGTTTCGCCTTTCACAGGGGTTGCATATCAGATATCCTGCATACCAGATATTTCATTAGGATTCATGACAGTAACAAAATTGCAGTTATGAAGTACCAACAAAATAACTTCATGGTTGTTTGTCACCACAACATGAGGAACTGTATTAAAGGCTCACAGCAATAGGAAGGTTGAGAGCCATTGCTCTAGAGCAGTAGTGTCAGAGGATAGAGACTGTTTTTCTGCTGGCAGATAGTGTAGTTCTACTGACTTTGACACTATGAAGTGAAGCTTCTCTATTGAAATCTCTGAATCAGCTAACATAATGCCATCAAACTCAGTCTGATGAGGCTGGTTACAGCCTAGTCTACTAATGGTGTAATTCTAGTGTTTGCTACGAGGGCCATATATAAAGTTACTCGGCCACAGCTGGAAGTCGTTGTGTTGACATGAACCCTAATAATGCTTAGAGTCAAAAAGAGCCTAGGGTGCTCAAAACAAAGTCTCTATGCCCAGCATAACATGGTAAGCTGCTGGAAGAAGGATAACAGTGGAAAAGAAGTTGTAACCCTTTTAACCTGGAAGTCCTCAAGACAGATTTTCCATTTTTACTGAAAGGAGAATCAAAAGAACAAGCAGATGTGAGTAAAAAGCAATGTCGGCAGCCAGTTTCCATGATTTCATAGAATACCACAGCTGTTGCCAACACTTTGCGGGATTCTAGGTGCGATCATGCAATGCTCTTTGGGTACGATGTTACCAGCCCACTGCCAAAGAGAAGCACACCTTCTTTAATTGCTTTTCAAAATATAAGCACTAAGTAAGAAAAAAAAAAAAAAAACATTAGTGACTTTACAATGTATCTAAGTATACATCTGGAAAGCTCATTCTGAAAAGTTACTTAAAAACTAACCTAATGCCATGGTATCTTGGCCAATACTCTATCATTTATCATGATTCCTATTTGAACTAATGAAATATCTGCAAAATCTAAAGTACAGAATTAAGCCTTGTTCTTAAACTGAAAGCTGCCAGGGAGTTGAGAATGAGTAAGAGCCCCACTTCTCCACTCTGCCCTGCTTACATAGTCTCTAAAGCTAGTGTTTCAGGTGGAAGTTTCTAAAGGGCAATAAATGGTTAGGGAAACATTTGTTTTCAGCACTCATCTTCCCAGTTACCTCTCAGCCTCATTGTTTACTGTTTCTTATAAAGATTATGACCACAAAGACAAAGAGATAAAAGCAACAGAGCAATGGGTGGGATTTGCGGTTGAGATCTGTCATCATAAAACCCTGCTGAAGGATCCTCTGTTGAGTCCTCTGCCAAAGTGAACTGCCTACTTGTTACCATTTTTTTATCAGACCTTCCAAAAGTGTGCAGATAAGGCAAACTATGTTGAAAAGTAGCCATTATTGTGTATATGTACTGCCAGGTTTTTCGGGAGATCTGTTTTAGTCTTGCTTCTTATCTTGGCTTCCAAATTGTACCTGGCACATTGCCATATATCAGAGACCTGCTAACGGTGATGACCTCAGTCACCAGTGGGAAACTCGGGCAGCATAGGAAAGGCCTGAGCTGCGGTGCAAGAAAAAGAGAAGATACCAGTACCTGGATATATCACAAGACAATCTTTCTCTTTCTCTCTAATGCTATCCTAAGTACCCAAGAACCTAAAACAATAGACTGAGCAAGACTCTCCACAGGAGCCAGCTAGAGAAACAATTTCATTAAATCCACTTCCAAAGTAAAAGCTAAAATCAGTATCACACAAGGCCTCAGCTGCTGTCCAATGCAGTTAGACTGCGTAGCTCAGCCTAAACAGGACTGTCTACAGTTTGAATTCTGCTTTCTTCACAAATCTCCAGCCTAAATCCACTACTCCTTTATCTGCTCATACAAACAGGTTTTGTTCCATTAGAGCTTAATTGCCTCTACCCAAATTTTGCCACTTTCTTCTCCCTCTCTTCCAGGCTATCTTAGGAGACCAGTGCTTTTTTGGCAAATGATGTGTGTTCTTTGAAAATGTTTAACACAACTGTAATTTTCTAAGGCCCTAGTATTTACCACGGCAACCTCATTTTCTAACACAGTGGTCATTCCATGCGATATACAGTTGTGTGATGTTTTTTTCTGAGAATGCGTGAGCAAATGCCTACGCACTCCAGATACAGTAGTGACGGCACACTGAGAATGTGACTCCACCAATGTCGCCTGACGAAACAGTGAGTGCGTCGGGGTTCCTCAAGGCGTGCAGGTGGGAACTGGCTTACAGGTGAACGGCCCAAGGGCAGCAGCAGCACCGAAAAGCCCACCCCAGCATGAGCGACAACTCCGGAAACCTGCTTCCTTGGAGCTCATGCTCAGCAGCAGTGTCAAGATGTGCAGTGCATTCTTAAGGAGGTGGGGAAGAAAAACAAACAAACAAACAAACAAACAAACAGCCTGCTGTCCAGATGGTAAGAATGGAAGATGAGGAACTCACAGCCCAGATGTGGCCATGAGAGAGTGGGATAACAAATGAGGAACTGTCTGCATCCTGTGGCTCCTGGAGTTTATCACAAGAAGAAATTCATTGTAAGGTTGTTAGTGGTGGAATTTAGCAGGAGCAAATGGCAGGATCCTGTATTTCCATTTTAAATCTAAGCTCAAAAATCCTAATCCAGACTTGCGTCTCACCTTTGGTGGTTAACCCACTAATCCAGGTTTGCCATCCTTGTTCTTGGTGTGAGGAGGGCCCTGTAGTTGTCATGACAGGAAAGCGAGCCTTCAAAGACATGAGAATGAAAACCCAGTGCAGATTGACTTTGTCAACCTGGGTCAGACTCGGAGTCTAATGCCAGACAGTTTGTTGTCAGAATATTAAAAACACAGTACAATTTGGGTAAAAGTTTCCAGGCAACAATTGGTCCAATTCCAGGTGCACAATACAACTTCAGGTGTGACTACATAGAAACGCTTTTACAAAGTACATGTGACCAAGAGGGTCAGTTCTAGAGCTAAAAGTTCTAAAAATCTAATGTGGTCTCTGACCAATAGCATAGAGGTCAGCAGGCCATGTGACATCTCCCCCAGGGATGGGTAGCAGTCTAGGGAAGAAAGTGTCTGGGGTAATCATTTGGGGGAATTTGGGTGAGGTCTATCTCTATAGCAAAAGATGGATGAGGTCTGCCTCCACAGGTAGCAAACAGATCACCAGCTCATTAAGAAAATCCACTCCCAGCTTTCTGGATGGGATGCAGGCATTTGAGTTTATCTCCTCCCCTGAGGGACACTCCTGCACAATTAACATTCCTGGTCCTCCTACTGCTCTTCTGTGAGCGCAAGGAACTCTGTGCCCCCAACACTGACATATTGGGCCTTCCTTTCTCTGTGTTTGTCTTTTGCTCCTTAATGATGCTGAACGGCTCCTGCTGAGATGAAGTCACAGTGCTCCATCAGAGCCAACCACGTGCCCCACCATCCATTCACCTGTTTCTAGTCATCATCTTCTCCAGATCTCATA